TTTCTTGCTGACTCCACTAATATAGCACTGTGTTCTTTTTGCAAGGGAGAAAGAATTTTTTACCTACTGCCCAGAATTCTTTTTTTAAATTTTAGTTTGAGGTAATTTTCATCCAGATGTGGAGAATATTCTCCAGTCTACTGACTCTAGAAAAATAAATTAATTAAGCTTGTAGAGATATTTCATATTTTCACAAAATTCAAGTCTTGCTTTGAGTTCCACTGCTGTCAAAACTACCAGAAAACATTTATCTTGTCACGAAAGAGCTCCCTCTTTATGAAATGAAGAATGAAAACTGATTAAATTGCTAAATAAATTTCACAAGCAATTATTTGAAGCAGGATTTATGCACATAGTTCCGAGCACACAAAAGTATAGGATCCACAATAACACAGGGTTTTGTTCATCACCCCTCCTCAAAGTGCTTGCCAAGTAATATGGTACATTACCACATGTCTCATATAGGTGAACATCTCCTTACAAATTATCACTTACGTCTTAATGATATTATCTGATACTTTAAGTCCTGCCATCTGCTCCACTGGTGCCTATAACAAATTAGGGCAAGACTTTCCTTTAAAAAACAATGACCTTGGAAATTTCACTTACTCATTATAACCCCATACTAATCAAATTTTAAAATGACATGCACCAGTCTACCTGAGGGCCTTTAGGCTGCTGGGGAGGATAGGGGCGTCTCTCTGATGGAGCTGATGGTTGTGCAGGAACAGAGGTTGGAAAGGGTTGGGACTGAAGGGTCTCCCCTGTTACACCACCTCTCCCATATGAAGCAGGAACAGATGGTGCTGGGGCACCTCTACCATATGATGCAGCCATCTGGGCACCTACATGGACAAGACCAGAAAAATATAAAAAATTGCCAATACAGAAGAGGAAGAATAAAATAACATCTCTGATTGAAAAAAAAGATTGCCAACCAAGTCAAGCACCTTGGCTCCAAACTTAACTACACTATCTGTACACATTTATAACATCCTGCAAAAGGCTTTTTATGACTTCAACCCACATGAATACTCAACCAGCTATATAAATCATAACGTATTTCAATTCCCACTGACAAAATCTCATTTAAAAACAAGTACACCTCTGGTTTACAAAAAGAGCAAATTGCCAGGATGAAAAAAAAAACCCACAACAATCTTTACCACATTTATTTTGGTTTATCATACAATTGTAAATAGTGCATAATCCCATAATTTCCCCCTTAGATCCCACAGAATTTTCATTTATTTTTCAGTACCCTATCAGGCCTTCCTTTACAAGATAATAGACACAGAATGGATTCAACCATAAGTATTTGGTAGCCACAGTTGCCTACTCATTATAAGGACAATGGAAAATATATTGAGAGACCAGAAACTTCAAGTTTGCAGCAATTAAATAGCTGAATGATGTGCTTTAAAGAAAATGTCTTTAAGTTTGAACAGCAAGAAGTTAAAAAGTGAAGTTCTACAATTCTCTTTACTACTAGTATGGATGAAAAGAAAGTTAACTGATACCTCTTCCATATGATACTGTTTGCTGATGAGATAAGGTTGAAGCAGGCTGCTGGCCATAAGGGGGTGCTGGACCTCCATACACTGGTCCTCCACGTCCATACATCTGACCATGCCCTGCAAAAACCAGCCAGCTCAGGGAAATGATTACATAGTTGATGTAAATGTAACCATGTAATAAGCACCTCTGAAGTTCTTGCGATTGCACTACAATAGTAAGCTCTATATGGTCGCAACTGGTCCACAAACAATATGCAGAAGGTGTTCAGGATTTTATGGGAGGATCAGCACTAAACAAATTGGTCAATCAGTTAAACACTTAACCCTTAACTCCCAGAAGTGACTAACATGTAACTTCTCCCTATGATATCAGGGTGTGAAATTGCACCTAATATAGGTGCCAATGTGACTAAATTTTTTACTTTGGTGACCAAATCCTGAAAAGTAGTTGTCAAATTGAGAACAAGAATGCTTCATCATAACCTAGAGATATAGTGAATAAAAAAGATTTGCAAAGATAAATCAGTAGCAAACTTCCTCATTAAGTTTGTTTCCAAAACGCAGCACATGCATCTTGATCGATAACTAGATGCCATCTTGGATTTAGGTGAGCTTGAACGTTGTATATTGTCCATCCTAGTGTCCACTTTGTAGAACCTTGTAGAACTTAATTTTGAAGGGTCTATCTAGAACACTGACAGTGTAAGGGAAAGGTTTTGTTGTCTTTAAAAATGGTGACCAATTTTTTTTTAATTGGCTGCCACTTTAGGAGCCAAGTGGCTATCAGAAAAAAAATTAATTTCATGCCCTAGATGTCCACACATTTTTCTCACAAATGGTTTATGAGAATACTTAAACTTATCAGGAAGAAGTTTTTATCTTGCTCTTGCACCAAATTTGCATAATTGATTAACAAGGAATTGTGTAGCAGCAGAAAGAGAGAATTAACAATCAAATCTTTAGAGTTTAAGTTTAGTGAAAAGCATCTAATTTCCATCAACAGCATTAACCCTGAATCAGACATGAAAGTCATAAGTATGGGGGACATTATTAAGAACTCAAGAAGTTCTTCATTGTAAGACAAATTCTACTGCAAGTACCATAGGTAATGCACAAAGATTAGTATGGGAAACTTGAATACTACTGGTACCTGTAAATATTTTAAACAAGTCTGAAGGCAGCCTAATTTTCTTGCTTGAGATCAAAATATCAAGATTCAAGTTTTAAAGAATGAGTGTTTCACATGGTAAATATACAAACCTGAGGCCTGTTGATATTGTTGAGGTATTTGTGACTGGTTTTCTTGTGGCATTTGCTGGGCATTTGATGGGTAACGTGGTTGCTGATGATAATGTGGTCCTTGCTGAAAGGAAGGCTGTTGTTGTTGTTGTGGATACATGTGTTGTTGTTGATAGGGTTGCTGGTGCCTGTAAGGAGGCCGTTCCTGCCGATAAGATGTTGTTGTTGTTGGTAAGGCTGTTGTTGGTATGGTGGCTGCTGATGGTAGCCTTGTTGTTGATAAGGATGTTGCTGTCTATAATGTTGTTGTCTTGGTTGGTAGCCACCTTGTTGTTGATAAGGGGGTTGTTGCTGTTGATACTGGGGAGGGTATGGTTGTCGCTGGCCATACTGTGAAGGACCTGGCTGGGGAGGCCCTTGATGAGAGAGATGCTGAGGATGCTGTGTCTGGCCATTCTACCAAGAAGAAAAAATTTAAATCATCAGCTGATGCATCTGGAAGAGTTGATTGCATCTTATCCTTCATCTCACTCTGTTATCTGTTATGTAGAAAATACATGTGACTATTCACTCCAGAACACCTAGCACCATTGCATAATAAAATACCTTCCAATCAAGGAAACCAAATCTTTCAAACCCAAATGTGTAGACTTGACATTTTGACCATAAAAGGTAACCAGTGGTGTTATCTTGGCAAAAGGGAAAGTAGTAACAATCATTGCCTTTCTTCAACTGACTTGTGTGTCAGTCTTGCTGAAAACTATTCTAATTTCTTGTTGTAGGCAGAACGGTTACTTAAATCCTTTCTTTCCAAGAGCTGCTACACCTTCTGCTACAAGGTAGGAACATTGTCTCCCTTGATCTTCCTCATTTCTTCTTCTCAACTGTATCAAAACTTGTGGTTAAAAATTTAGCGAATCACTTACCTGTCCATTTTGTCCTTGGCCTGGAGGTCTGGCTGGTTGTTCTAATGCCTAAAATACAGAAGATTGTTGATGAAAATTTAAAAAGACCAACTCTGACCAGGAGGGATAAAAATTGTAGGTCCAGAATATGGCATAACCCTCATTCTTTGGAAAATGCATACATCCTTGCAACTCTGAATTTGTTATTGCACAATATAGCTTTGGTTGATGAAATCAATGTTTAGCTGAAGAAGAAAAACCAACAAGCATACATCCCTAGGCATTATAAGTAATATGGCCATAAGACTGATGTGAGAACTAAAATCAGTTTTCCAAGTCTTAGTTTTCCAGGTCTTAAGTTTCCTGGTCTTGGTTCTTTTGGTCTCAGCTTTCTAGGTCTTAGTTTCCCAGACACCTGACTTAAATTGTCCTTGCCATAGAGGAATTTTGAAAGTTTTTTAAGGTTACAAGATGTCGTTATCGACAAGGAAGAGTAGTATTTTTTTTCTCAAAACGATCTTTGAACGTGTCAGAACTCAGATAGGTGCAGCTTGTTATCGGTGACGTCAGCCAAAACCGAATGACACCTTCTGCAGTTCACTTGGGCAACCGACTCGAAATTCACTCACCAATATCGGTAAAACGGAACTACGGTATCGAACCAAATAATTACTGTTTTAAGAAATACTTCATTGGTCAAAAGAAAAACAAAAACACTCAAACCACAAACAAAGCCACCGTCCCAGCTGAAGTTGCCCCATCATACAAACGTGACCTTTCGATGAAATACGGGGTCGACGCGCGCTTTTTCAATTCGAAATTAAAAACTGTTCTTTTTTCTTTCACAGTTAGCTAGAAACCCTCCTTAAAGCTTGCAGCGGTAAACGAGTTCTTTCATATAAAATATTAAAAATTTCAACATCAGGCGGAGTCTTGTTTACAGTGAATGTTTTAAAAAATTTAGATGATAAAGAATCCCATTGTGCAAGGTTTCGTTAGTTTGCTTACCTGTAATAGCGCAGCGCCTCGTCCTCCACGGCCAGCCATGCCGTTCTAGTAGATACTTAAACCCTAAATTTGTTAAAATGTTAAAAATATATTCTAAAAAGTTACGGAAATCTCCACGCGCACATGTAGTGCGTTACTTACTGAGTTCAGACTCGTGCTAGTCAACAACTGCTAACCGAAGTAAGCATAATGAACTGGCGGCAACATACCATAATGATCCGACACTTAGCCTGACCAATCAGAAGCCTAAATTACTATTCGATAAAGGATCGTAAAACTACGTAAATAAATCGACTACGTTCTATCTATACCGAGAACTTTCTCAATCGCGCCTGTCGTAAACTGCTGTCATTCCAGCCATGGAGGAAGACGACTGTGAAAAGATGTCCACTAAAGGGCGGGAAACTCCAAGGCTAAACATGGAACATGGATTTATGCAATCCATAATAAAGAATCAAGTCGACAGAGATGAGTACGACAAAGAACAGAAGCTTTTAAAGTTGCAAAACAAGCCAGGCGGGCCATCTCGGAGAGAAAGGCCGAAAAGAGCGGCAATGCAAGTTTACGTTCCTCCACATTTGAGACAGAAAGGAACACAGAAAGAGAAAGAACAAGGAACCGCTAGTAAGCCCACATCAACCTCTCCTAGTGGTGAGCTTTGGCCTTGTTTTACTCTTGTTTGTGTTTGCATGATTCACCACAATTCAAATTGGGAATGGTTGAATTGTGGCGGGAATAGTGGCTGAAAATTGATGTCTGTGCATTTAACATCAACATATGTCCTTTGTTATTAGAAAGGAACGAGAGCTTTTCTCAATAAACCTTATAGCAGCACTCTTTTGATGAAAGAAACAAATCCCTGTGAACCATGTTTGTTTATAAACTGATCAACTGTATCCTAGAACCCTTTAAAATAAACCTTTACTAGTTGCACGTAAGACAGTTGTTTGCACATGGTTGACTAGTCTTCCTCTCGAGAGTTTGATCGCTCCCAAACTGTTAGAGGTTAAGTTTAAAAATAAACCTTTTATTAAATTCTCAACATTAACACTTGCTTTGACAATGCTAAAATCTAAGAAGGTTGCAGGGTGGAGCTAAGTCAGTAGGGCATAACAGCCATAGCATACCCCTGTTTCTGCAGCATGAAATGAATACAAATAGTATCAACTCCTAAATGAGACGTCAGGCTACTATATGTAACCCCCTCCCCTCCCTCAATTTTTATTTCAGGCTTCCAAGCCATTTTTCTAGAAGTCATCTAATAGAACAGACCCTTTTAACACCTTAACACTAGTATTCATATTCTCCACACTGTAACCTATACATTTCTTAACCCTTTAACTCCCAGATCAAATTTTCAATTCTCCCTACTGTCAACCACACAATTATTATAATGTTAGTACAGAGAATTTAGTATTGGATCAACTAATTATTCCAAAATTGATATTTTCTTTATTCTCATCACTCATCTCGTTGGGATTGTATTAATATTGTAAGGAGAAATTCTGTCTTGGTCATTCATGCAAGTAAAAGGGTTAAGGTGCAGACAATGAGAATTTTTAAGTAATAGTTAAGAGCTTCTTTTGATTGGTGATCATTCCCTTTGTTGTCGTGACTTAACTGTTTGATTCAGGGGTGATATTGTAAAGAGAAATTAGAAATTACTCTTCTGGGCTTAATGGTGGTTAGGTTGTAGTGCAGTATGTTATGCTAACAGGTAGGATAGTGTTATCCACCCTTTGAAAGACTAGGCCCAGAACAGAGTTATCTGGCTAGGGCTTGAATCAAGATCTCTCAGTCTGGAGTCTAACAGGCTACAGGTGATGTCATCCCCTTGCTTGGTCCTCCCAAGTTCCATCACCCCCTATGAAGCTCTGTCACCCCAAATTAATGGCAACCCAACACAGAACTACTGGTTAGGTCCCAGTGACTCCCATTATTCTACATTATCTAACATAAATATATGTACTTGCATAGCAGCTTCAAAAACAGAAGACTGGGAAGCAGAGGAAAAACCTGCCTCTGAAGTCACAATCCAGATGAAGCTTGAATTTGTTAGACAGGATGGGAAAGTAAGCAAATTGGACATCTGTGAGGTAAGCACTTTAGCCTTACAGTACCATGAAACATGAACATTTGTTGGGTTTAAATTTAGGCTGATTTTAAAGCTTTACCTAGATATGCCAAATAAGTTCCTTTACAGAAAAAAATCCTACCATGTACATGCAAAAAGTTTTATGGTGCCAAATTTACCCCCTTTGTCAACTAAAAAGCTCTACAGACTCACAAAATATCATCAACCACTCATCAACTGTGTGGATGTCATGATATGTGGATATTTGTCTAAAGTGTGTCTGTTGTTGTTGTTCAGGTATTGAGGTAGAGATAGTGGATAAGTAAAAGCAGGTGTGAAAAAAAATGTGAATGACATTGAAATTTAGCCACAAATTTCTGCTTAGGAGGTAGAGAAAGTTCTGATGGTCAATGGTTAACAAACACCCAGTGCAGCTAAGTATTTCTTTGACTGATCTTTCCTTTAATTTTCTTGTAGGGAGAAGATCTTAAGAAGGTGGTGAGCAGTTTTGGCCGTGCCAATGGCCTAGATGCTCGACTAAGAGATGCTCTGTATCATCGCATTTCCACAGCTTTAAAGGAGAGAGCAGTGTAATGACAGCTACTCTTCTATTTGAATTTATTCATATTGAATAAACTTCCTGTTACATTTTATTTTATACCTATTTCTAAGTTCACAAACTTTCTGGCAAAAATAGCTTGTTTGATCATGTGATATGAAGCTCTGAATATGAATATAATTAATGTCATAGTCACCTTAAGTTTGGACTCTATCAATAGGATTTTTTTCTTAGCCTCATCTAAATTTGAGGGGTTTGGAAGAAGTTAAAACAGTCATGCAAACCTTAGAGGCGGTCAAAGATTTGTGTTACTCTTGAGAATTCAACCCAAGATTATTTAATAAGGCTTTTTAATCAAAATGACATTATTCCTTTATTGCTTTTGTGAGATCTCTCTTAAATACTTGTGTACATATTCACACTCTTATCTTAACACACCTATTGCTCAATGAGAGCTCATGTACTATCTTAATTAATCTATTAATTTAATAGGAATAAGTTTTGTTAAGAAAATTTTTTTTAATTGTTCTGTTTACATACTGGAATTCCTTTCAAAGAATTTATTTATAAATATGCAGATTTTATTCTATTGGGAGATAGGAATATGAATCATAGGTTTGATGAATGAACTTTATATTGTACAGATTTATATTTTCATAAATTATTTCAAATATGGACGTTTTTATTAAAGGTTTTGTTGCATTATTTGATCTATTAAAATTTTTTCCTCGTACATTTAAGCTTCTAAAAAAAAATTTGATCAATGCTAGAAACCTCCTTGAAAATATGATAAGTGGGTGAAAGCAGAAGGTACAGATTTATATTTTCATAAAATATTTCAAATATGGATGTTTTTATGAAAGGTTTTGGTACATTATTTGATCTGTTAAAATGTTTTCCTCATACATTTAAGCTTCTTAAAAAAAATTTGATCAATGCTAGAAACCACCTGGAAAATATGATAAGTGGGTGAAAGCAGAAGGCTCAAAAAACATCACCAGTAACCTTTACAAAATATAACAACATAATTTTTGTGTGCATGACTGCAACCTTTCTAAAGATGTGCCTGATTTGGGTAATTCCCCTCAGCACCCCTCCCAAGTATATTAATTTTCTTTGTCCAAGTCCCTCCATAAACAGGTGTTTGCAATGCAGATACTGAAATACCCAAAGTAACATTTCACCTATCAGTACCCCTGAATGGAAACACCCAATGGAAATAAAACTGATGTTAATTCCTCTCTCATGGTTACTGCAACATATCTAAATTAAGTTTTGGGAGGGGGGAACTTCCAGATTCCCTTTTTGTCCCACGTTCTTGACAAAGCCAACTCTTTAGCACAAAGTTTGGGTTTTTATTTATCACATCATGAAATTAAATTACAGATGAGTATAACAAACTTAAGTCTTGCCGAATGCAGGTTCCGTGAAAGAGAGAAAACCAGTCAAAAATATCTATTCCATAAAAAAAAATAAAACTTACACTAACATGAAGCATTTATAAACAACAACAACAACAAAAGGAGCGTCTTTGAGGCTGAACGTGAAAATAAACAGAGCAATGCCACATCCTTCAGGCCTTTTTGGAGAACACCACAGATACCACGCCAAAATGGTAAGACTGGATTTGTCAGTTAACTTTATTTGCACTTTGCATCTGCAGTATTGAACTGTGTTGGTTTCTGTCAGCTGAAAAAGTGTCTTGAAACTCCATAGCTACAGCATTTAAGTTCTTTATTTCTGGTTCATGCTCATGGTATCTAACCTATTGCCACTTTTTTCTTTTCTACCTGACTAGACAGTATCCATTGGTGCTTTTTCCTTTTGTAACTCATAAATCTGTAAAACATAACAGACAAGACAAGATTTTGCACATTCAATTTTCCTTTCAATTGATAAATGAACGAGGAAATTAACAATAATAATTGAGAACCCTTATTCAGTGTTCTCCCTTATTTTAAGCATAACAGGTAAAATGAATTTTCAAACCAGTAAAGGAATCCTTCTACCTGTTGAATTTTTGAGAATTCCAAGCAATTTTAAAAGGTATTAAGAGGAACTACAGGCAGTAAATTTTACTGGTTACTGCCTGAAAAGGAGAACGCTGCTTATTAAGACTGCCCAATGAAATCATGAAAATCTTGAACTCCTCACAACAATTGTGAAAAACTAAATAGCAAACTGTTAAGAACTTAAATTGGATAATTGTGTTGTGAACTGTGGCAACCCATTTTACCTGTAGAGTGCCTGTTTTAACTCAGAGTATAAATGAGTACAAGCAAACTATGGAGAATTCTTTACAGAATACTTGGAGAGGGGGGAGGGAGGAAGGGATTCCTTGAGGTAGACTACAGTATCCTAGCGAGAAGGAGTGGCAATACTACCACTGTTTCACAGTTACACAGCTCACTTGTCATGGTTTACCATTCCTAGAGGGAGTTCTCCAACAGCTCTTAAGGCAGCCAAAGCATAGCTCACCCTATTTTCTGATTAAAATATTGAAAATTTCAAATCCCAAAAAAATAAGTGCCTAAAATTGTCCAAGTTTGAAAATTAAGTAACAACAACTGAATTTAACAATCTTTATATTTTTTTATGTTGTATACCTGTATATATGAATCTGAGAGAGTTATCACTTGAGGCAAAATCTCTTTAACATGAAGATCTTGGAGTTCAAACCACTTGTTTGCACCCTAAATATACATATCAAACAATAAAAACCTCAGTAATGCCCTCACCCCCTTTAACTTAACAATACTAATAACACAAAGAAAATGAATACTGTATTAATCTTACTTTGTGTAGGATGTGAACTTTGAAAGTTCCAGCACCTGTGAAGAGAAGCAACATGACATTTCTTCATCCTATGTCTAATGGGTTTCTAATGCATGTTTTCTCTTTTATTCACATTTTTAGGCTTCTTTGCAACAAGAAAAGCCCTCAGGTGTTTCTAGGACTCAAACCACTCCTGAAACTCATTTCAGAGTACAACACTTTTTGAATTAATTGATGCTGTCTCTCTTTCTACTAAAGCTACAAAAGGGCTGAGGGCAGGGGTGTAGAGCAAGGATTCTTCTACCTTGCCCCCTCCTCCCTCCACCCCTCTATCTCCTCTCCTGCGACCCCATTTTGCAGTAAAGCTGCCAACGACAGTGGTATAATTGGTGATTTTAACAGCTGGATGGCTTATATTAAGTTTGAGTATCAAGGCTCAGACACATTGGGCAACAAGGAAGTGCACAATCCTTTAGAAACAACTCACAGTCTCTGCATTTGCTTAGTATGCTTTATGAGACATGGAGAATTTTCAGGAAATCTTTGTCCTTGGGAAGGATATAGGATATTGTTGCTTTATGGTCTGAATTTCTGTAAAAGTTGTATCAGATTCAACAGAATAAGTCCTGCCAACTTGTTTTTGGTGCAGCACTTAGTTGGTTCATGCTGTAGAGTACCCCAATGCCAAGCAGGAGATTGAGTATTCAAGCTCCAGACTGAACATATACCCAGGGTCTTGAAATAACTAAAGAAAATGCGCTACTTTTGCTTTGACATTGCAAATGGTAAGCCACTCTAGTCTTCTCAGATAAGGATGAAAAGCTGTAGGCCCCATCTCTTGCATCTTCTCTGCACTGGTTAGCAGGGGATGTTAACTTTAAGAACCTGTGCATTTCTTGCAAAGAGTGGGGAACGCAGCTCCTTGTGTTGTGGCCTGGCCTTGTTGTTGTTTATACATCTTATAAGTATTTCCTTTATAGAAAGAGCTCGAGGCAATAAAGGAAGAAGAAGAGTGGTTGATGGAGATTTAAAGGGACACGATCCTACCTTTGCTTGGCTCTCCTTCATGACAAACATTTGCAATCAGATCATACTGAGTGTGGGGGTGAGCATCTTGCACAGCTGGGTCTGATACCAGGAACTCTGCCATGTCCACCCCCCTGAAAAACACACAAAGCACTGATGATTTAGTTTTTATGGTGCTAAATGCAAATTTAAAAGGCAATCAAACAAGATAATTTGAGGTGCAGACGTAATTTGTTGTGTAGGAAGGTGTATACTGTACTTTCAATAATGATTCACTTTAGTGCCCATGGGAACGGGGGAGGTGTTATTTACTTTGGGTATCTCAGGGGAGGGCACCCATTCCAAACAGGGTGTTTATTTCTTTATTGAAAAACAGCAGAATGTACAAAAAGAATTGATGTTTATTTGAAAAGGATCAAGAAGAATTGAAAATGGACTAGTTGTCCTTGGATCCTTCTAGTGAGCAACAAGACAGAATTTATCCTTACACTATCAGTACGATATCAAGCAGACAAGTAATGAAAATAAAGCAAAATATCAATTAGAGGAATATTGGTTGATCCCCAAACTAACGTCACATAAATTGTGTGGCAAACGGTAAGGAGAATTATTAATGAGATCTTGGGAGTTAAAGGGTCAAAAAAACCTATACATGGGGGGTGCTTATCAGAGAGGGGACACTTATAGGAAGGAGTACATTCTGTCTTGGTTACTGAACTGAGTTAAAGGTGTTACTGATACATCAAAGATTTATCAAATTGTCACACAACTTACTTGACTGGAAAGTTCACAACAGTGGGATTCTTCTCCACGAAGAACATGTTCTTTGTAAATCTCTAATAGTAGAGGTAAAGATTACATTGTCATGATTTAATCTTAATAAAAAAGAAGATCAAGAAAAATCAAACTGTGTAGGAAAATTCTAGGCCAAGAAAATTTGGAAATACAAATACCATGACATTAAATAAAGAATTTCATGTTTCAAAATGTTTCTCACTCATTATAACACAGTGAACACAGAAAAAACATAATTTCTTGTCTGAGTAACTTTACAGAGGGTATCAAAGGAAGGAGAGGAGTCCTAATCACATTTCATGCACAGATTTTAGAGAAATAAACAGGGAAAACTTTTCTCTTCTTGTGTACAAGGTTTCAGGGAAATCGTGCAGTTTTCACAAAACAAAAGAAAAAATTTCATGGGTCTCAGACATTTCAGGAGGCACATCACACCTTGTTCTGGTTCATAAATTGATCAATCATGCTTGGCCTTTTGTAAAATTCATGCATTAAATAAAAAATTTGACCTTAATCACACATTGTGTACAAACCCTTTGCCTACCTACTTTTGCTTTTTTTTTTTTTTTTATTTGTATGCAAATAACACATACCTTAACACACATGATCAGATATTTTGGTAACTTTGTGAGTTCAAACTTCTTTACAAATGTTTCCTTGTATGTTTTATATTCCTAAATAAGAACATTATGTGACTGTTGTTTAATATTCAGACACATGTAACATCCAGATGCAGAAACAAGTATGCATTCCAATAATCATTCATGTACTTAATCTGAATCACCTTATACTTCAAACCTAAGAATGACCGGCTTCTAGATTCTCCTCACAATATCACCCTTGGCTCAAATATAAAGGTCACGATAATAAAAGAAATGATCCCCAATTTTAGAAGTTCCTGATGGTCAACTTGAAACAATTCAAATTCATTTTAA